GAAATGTTTGTGTCTTCATTGTGTTATTTATTCATTTTAACACTGTATACATTGAATTTAAAAGCCTGTTTAATTACACACAGTGTAATATTATATACTCCCGATTAAGCGTTGCGGCGCTTATTCAAAAGCGGCGCTTAACAAAAAAAAAATCATGTTTGGTGCGGCGCTTATTCGCGAGCAGCGCTTATTTGAGCATTTACGGTAATGTGGATTATTTTAGAGAAATCCGACTTACTTGTAATGGTGTAAAAGCCACACTGGATGCTGTACCGGAGGTTTCTCGACCTTTGACAGTCGACCTCCCTCCATGCATTTGCTGCTTTTGCAACTGCCGCTGTAGAGAGAATCAGTATGGTAACTATTATTAAAGTGTTTCTTTCTAAAATGAATTAAATGTACAATATTACTAAAAGCAATCATTAAGACTCCAGTACATAGTGATCTACTGACATAGAGCATGTGGTTTGTTGGCATAGAATTGTTGGTAGTCAACTGTTATAATACAATCTATTAACTCATTAGTCAATTAATATCATACCAATGGACCATTTACAGTGAAATTAAGGGATGTTTATTTTAGTATATACTGAACATTAAATGCCTCCCTCAAATAAACACCTCCCTCGAATATACATCCCCGCCAAAAAGCTATAATATTATTACCTGTAAACTTTTTGATATCTTGACTTGTGTTTTATTGTCCACCTGTGGTCCCCTAATTCGCCCGGTTCCTGTTTTTTTCACCTGTCCTAGTGAGAAACCTAGATCCTCTTGATAGGCATCATCTTCAATCTCACCAAATGTCATTCGATTAGCGGCTTTGCGGAACTCTGTCATACCTAAACGTTCTTTCATTTTGCGGTAGCTACCCAAGAAAAAATGTGATAATTAGGCCAGTTGAATGGCCAAGTAGTTAAGGCAGGGGGCGCCACTACCTACCTATGTTTCTGAAACAAGTCTTCTCGGACAACAGAGTGTAAGCTCAAGTGCACTATAAAGAACCCACTACTGTACATCTTCCGAGACAAGTAGGGGGTTACCCCAGTGTGCTGGTCCATACAGCCCTGTTGTGGACAGACAATTTTTGTGTGTACAGTATTTAAATGGTTAAAGATTGGGTGGTGGTTATACAGACTAAAGCCTTGTTCGCACTGGATTAAAGAAATGGTAAATTTAACCAGGGTAACTTTAACCAAAGTCATGGGTACATTTCACCATTGTTCGCACTTGGATTATTCACGCGGTTAGTTTTACCATAGTTTTACCAAGATTTAACCTTGTGTATAAAAAATATTATTCAGGGCGCTAGTTTGTGACTTCAATTTCCGGTTTTGTTCGAGCGGTGTCAACATGTAAGAAGTTTTAACCGTGTTGCATGTTCGGATTGGACTTCTTGACCAGCGTGGTTAGTTTAACCGAGACCGTGGTAAGTTTTACTGGGCAGGCTGAGGTCGGTAAAATTAACCATTCGGCTTGGTTAATTTAACCCTGAGGGAATTGTAACCAACGTTCGAATTGGATTTTTTTTGGTCAATTTAGCCAGTGACTCGGTTAATTTGACCAAATTAAGTCCAGTGCGATAGGGGCTTTAGAAATGTGAATGAGTTCCAATTAATTGTAGCATAAGAGAGGACAAGTATGATTTGCAATTTAAATAATTAGTCACATTTTTATAGAATATTAATTATATTATCATAACTCTGTCTTCATATTTAATGTGTTATGTATCTTACCGTCTTCCTCCTCTCTTCTTTCTTCCTCCATCTATTGGCGCTGGCAATGCTTTTGTTTTCTTGACAGGTGGTGGTTCTGTTAATTTTTCAAACTTTCCGTCTATTTCTTCCCTGAATTTACTGCCGATTTCTCCATTTGGACTCTCATGAAAGCTGTCAACTCGAGCGGCAAGGGTACATTTGCCTGCAATAAGTCTTGCTGCTTTTTTCCTCAAATCCTGCAAAAAAATTTCATTTATTTATTATTATTTTGGGAAAAAAATATAGATATTAAGTGTAGTGGATTCAAGGGGAACTGTGCCAGCCCCCTAATTTTTTAATATTATGAAAAAATGGAGGAAAAAAGATCTGAGGTGCAGTAATCATATATTTTCTTCCCTCTGTCCCAGTCATATCAGGGCTGAGGTGGTCTGGGCCCTCTCTATTTCAAATTTCTGGATCCACTACTGATACGTGTTAGTACTTACCGGTGGAGTGCCTTGACATAGGTCACTGTAATAGATGAAGCCAGTGTGTGGGAGGAGTGTAGCAGATGAGAAGCCCGATAGTGTACGTTTCTGAGCACCAAGCAGCAGCACATTGCATGATGGCATTTTGGAAAGATTTGTTAGACCTCCTGCAGCACCTATAAATATGATGGACATTAAGGTAATAATAACAAAAAAAATAATATTATTAATAACATAATATAATAATAATTAATAATTTTTTTTTATATGTTGTACAGTACAACTGATCTTTTTAAGACACAAAAGGGTGTTTGACAAAAAACTTCGGAATGAGATACAGATTTTTTTAATATTTAAAAACTGGTGAAAAAAGGGTAGTTACACCCCTTTTTACCCCAGTTTTTAAGTATTCAAAATCTGTATCTCATTAAATATTCCCAGGTTTTTTGTCCAACAACCTTTTTGTGTCTTAGAAAATCAGTTTTACAACATATCAAAAAACTTTTTCCTCTGGGCCTGGCTTTTAGGGTCCCAAATGGTCAGCTTCCCAACCTCTAGGAGCCTCATAAAGAGAACTCCAACTCTCCAAGCCCCATAAAGAGTCTTGCTTGTAGAGCACTAAGGGACTTAGCTCTTATTCCTTAAGCCTGATGAGAGTTGAATAACGCAAAAATGGCCCTACATGACCAGCTCTCTACTGCACAAGTGTCGTGAAGAAACTTAAAGCATCAAAGGTCACAAATAATCTACATTTACCCTAAATGATCAGCTTCACTGAATGACTCATATGGGTTAATAGGTGTGAACTATTTTAAAACTTACCCATAATTTTTGCTGCAGTTGAGGCACCAACTATTATTGATAAATTTGGTGAAATAAACGACATCCGTGATTCTACATAGGAGAGAATCTGTGATTTTGACTCATTTAGATCAAAGGCCTGCAAAATAAACAATAATAAAAACAAGGTCATAGAACTGTTAACAAATCATAGAAATAAATCATTTTGTTTGATCTTGACAAGAAAACACAACCATACAATTGATCAAAACCACAATACAGAGAATTTCTTGGATCCTGAGTATAAGAATTCATACAATAATTCAAAATGTAATTAAAACAGGACAAATATATACTAGCTAAACTTCATGTCATTATAATTCTGTTAAGTGTCCAATGATTATTATTGTAAGAAAATATATATCTTGCCAACCCCATTCATACTAGTGTGGCCCTTAACAGTAGATGATCACAAGGAAGGGTGTAAGCTTGTGGGGGAGGGGGCATGGCAGAAAATTAGTTCCACAAGGTGGGTTAAAATACTAAACATGACCTTTAATTTTTCAGGGATTAATTACGCAATCTGGGATTTACTTCTGCATTCTAATTTTTCGCATCCCCTCCCAGGCCAAAACCAGCTTATGTCCCATGAGTTGTATTTGGATTATCAGTTTACCATTTGACATGCTTCCACAACTGTAGCCAGCTCTTCTTCAGACAGTGTAGTCCCTTGTGTTGTCGAGGCTGACACACTAACAACCATGATGACAGCACTTGTCAATATTTCCTGCAGTTGCTCATTGTTTTTTGCCTTTTCCAAGTCATTCCTCAAAACCTGTGTTGTATAAAAATTACAATTTATTTATTAGAAATAATCACAAAATGTAGGAAATTTTCGAAATCCAAGAAAAGAAAATAAAGTAGAAATCTGTTTTTATTTTGAAAGTTCAGTGGTACATGTTCAATGTGATACTCATCCTCTTATAT